AAGTATATGATATGTTATTTTAGTGGGCCCGATATTAATAATTATCAATAAATATAGATAAAAGATCTAAATAATACCTAGGTATGATAGTTTTAAGTATTTCAGATCTATTATGTCGAAGAAGAGGGCAGGTCGTGTTAAAAACATTTATAATAAATCATAATTCTAAACAAGTGAAAGTGTCATTTTACTAAAGAAAAGGAATATTTTTCATAAGAACATAACATTTAGAGTTCGGCCTATTTGTTTAAAATGAACATAAAGAGGTGCATTAGCAGTCTATATGATAAGAGAATCTAATTAGAATTGTAAGGCTATATTGCAATGTGTTGGTTGATAAAGTATTATTCATTAGGAGCCAAAATGAGTGAGGAAGAAATAGAAAAGATAAGATGTAGGTGAGGTAAAACATAGAGTAAAATTAATTGTACTAGGGACTACATAAATAGCACCTATTGAGCACAAAGTCAAGGAAATCAACTAAAGTGATTTGAGCATGCAACAACGCAAAAAAGATGCAACAACGCATCAAAAACACCCATAATCATATATGAGGTAAAGCACAAAAAAGATGCCTCATAGAGATTTATGATATCATATAGAATCAAAAATTAAAAGGCCGGATCCAAACAGGGATTATCATATAAAAAATATAAATATAACTTTTGTAGATACATATATTTTTAAAAATAACATATATTAACCAAAAAATCATATGACAATAACAATGGCACTCAACAAGAAATGCTAGAGAGAAAATTGCAATGAATTATAAATCACTCAGTATTTATTTGGATTTACATCTAGTTTGAAGCCCAGTGAAGAAAAATAAGTAATGATATATTTCATTCTTATTCCTAACCCTTCTAGCAAAAACAAAATAAAATCTTTTATCTATCAGGGAATCAACATTTTGAATGCTCCAATAGAATCAAAAACCTGTGGTGACAAATAATAGTCTTTTTTTTTTTTGCGAATGAGATGAAACTGAGGCATTTCAAGAACTAACAGAATGTTCTCGGTAATAATATCAGTAGGGATAGATATTTTAGTCATAATCTAAAGGAAAACTAATCTTGGCTCTAGAATCTAGGAATAGACCTAAACAGCTAAGGGAGGATCTTCCACTAATAGCGCAGGAGAATTATTATAAGCATCAAGTGGAAAGTCCTATAACTGAAATTTAAGATATCTCAACTAATGATGAAGCTTCAGAAAATTTATGCCCAACATACAATAAGAGAAGCAGCTATTTTTTTTTGGCAATATCCAGACAAGAAAAACCTAATCAACATCTCCATATGAGAAAATTTTGTGATATCAAATTCCACTATCCCTTTTACCAATGTTCGGTAAAGCGAGCAATCACTATACCATCTACAAAGGTTTTCCAAAAATAGAAACAAAAAAATGGAAGACTAGTCGAAATAGTGAATAAAATCGTAGAAAAAAATCTAAAAAACAGTGAATAGAGGTTCTCTATAGTAATCAAAAGATGGGGCATTTTGATATATCCACCTAAAGGAAAATAATATAATATGAATGTTGTGAGAAAAATCAAATATAATTTTCTTTTAAAGAAAGTATTATGTGGACATGTCAAGGGTCCATAAATCCAACAGAATAATCACCTAATACTTGTAAATAAGACAAATACATACAAATTACCTCTAAGCTATGACGGTTCATTAATAATTTGCCAATAAATGAAAAGCAAGCGGCCTAACAAGAACAAAAATCACTTTATTGGAAAAATGGAAGGCAAACTTTCTTGGAAAAGAGAAGGCTACTTCCTTTGTTAAATCATTTAATTTTGATGAAAAAAAATTGGAGCATTATTAAGTGAAGTAAAACGCATGTGACATTGAACCCCAAACAACATTCGGTTGAGATAGAGGAGGCTGAACCATTGGCGTGAAAAAAATAAGAAAAGCCTTAGAAACAAAGTGGTCAATTGAGGAGTTGGTGATCTCATTGAGAGTTAAACAAGGCTCTAGGAGAAATCATCTTACAAAAAGGCGGAATCCAAAAAAAAATAATAAAACAAAAAAAAAAAAATCACCTAACAGTTTTCAACAAACTGAAAAGAGAACAAGAATGGCTACAAACATGAGAGGCAAAAATTCTACCACCAAAGTGAGTGAAGAGGATTGAACGATGATGTTGCAATAGGTGCCAGAGGGACCAAGAGCAAACGTGACACCAACATCATAAGGTAGCATCACCATCAAAGATTACCCATGGACCCGAAAATAAAATGAAAGCCCTCCAACAACGAACCCAGAAAAAGCTACATCAATGGCCAAAAGGATCAATGAAGGTCATAGAAAGATTCATGTGTCCTGGGCCTAACAAGCCTACTCTAGCGAGAACTCAATATAACACCCTACAAAAAAGCAGTTGTGAGCACAACAAGACATGACACACACAAAGTGTGTAAGTGTTGTATAACACCATAGATTAATGAAAAGAAGAATGGTGTCCTCTTGGTTGTGAGTTTGCATCTCATTCAAATATTGTTTTAGCTATCATATTACTGTTACAAATTCAAGAAATAACAACAAACACAAAAAATGTGAAAAGAAAAATAAACATCAGCAGAATACTACATGATGAATTAAAACAAATGGCAAAAACCTTACAAATAAAAACCTTGGACTAATAGAAAAATTGGTTGAAGTGGTATCAACCACATCAGCATGTAGATCTTTTATGCTTAATGTAATTAAAAAACATATTGCACTAAGCACATAAATTGTTTTGATCGAATTAAGATGAAACAAGTAAGCCAAAATGGAACAAAAGTTTTGAACATTGAAAAACTTCTTGATGTAGCTATTGGAATATCAAGATCATGAAGGCATACTCTTTGTGATTACATATGATGGAAGTGGGAAGGCTTTTTTTCTTTTTTTTCTTTTTTTTGCACTAAATAATAATTTTATAACCAATTAGTAGAATGAATACAATAAAGGGAACAATGTCAAAAATTCTATGTGAAAAGTAAAAGTCTCAAAATACAATTCAAGATACAATGATAGCGTCCTCCAATTGAAACTAAGAATTACATATATCCTTATTTACAGCTCCTTGCTCGAAGCTTGGTGGATATTGGGGAATGAAAATAACATTTTTCTTGTTTCTACCCCACCTGCCATATAGAGTTTAAAATCTCCAATCCACATAAATATTGATCTTAAAATAAACCATCAAAATCATAAGGTTGTTCAATAATATGGCCATGAACATCTTCAATAATAGGAGGAAGATGATGAGCTAGTCTATTAAGAAGGACGAGTTGATTATTCATGCATGTAGATGTGGAGCTAACCATATCCTGAGACAAATAGCAAGGGCAAAGAGGGTTTGGAATGAAATAGGGATGGATAATTTATGGGAATAAATAAAGTGTTCAAGAGCTAGCTTGAAGGGATAAAGCAGGCTTGGATATGACTTGTAGAAGATTAGGCCAACAATTGAGAGGGCTGTAATAGGTATAAGGATTTTAGAAGAGATATGTTGGAATTGACTTCAATGTTGCTTGGAACGGTGAAAGCCGAGAGGGCTTACGGATGAAGGGGAAAGGATAGGGTGGATGTCCTTGGGAGGTTGTGAGATGATTTTAAGAATATAAATGAATTTTAGGAGGTGAAAAGGGTTCAAGATGAATGTGTAGAACCAAAATAAGGAGAGGAGGATGAAATAAAAGCACGAAAAAATGAAATATTTAACTCAACAAAGCTCATGAGTTTGGATCAGGCCTAAAGCCACCAATATTGTAGATTAGCCACCATGCCACTCCACACAAATCCACAATAAGCAACTGTAGTTAATTCATTTAAAAAATGATCAAAAGTAAGTATAACATTCGGTTATGTATAAAAAAAAGGGAAATACATCAATTCCTTCATAATGGTTTCTAGCAAGGATTATAGTGGTCCCAATAGCAATTAAATATTTAGATCAAAATCAGTGACCAAACAGTCAAATTTTATAAAGGGTTTTAAGTTGCTTTCCCTTTTATTTTTTACTTTGCTTTAATATGAGATTTTAAGGCCTTGTATAGAAGGTGGGATGGACTTAAAATTAAAGCACATGTTGAATTTTCCCAATGAAAGGGTCAGCTACAACATGATTTATCATCTTTGCTTTGAAATTATAAGTAATCATGATAACATTGATTTAAAATTTTGATGCAGAGCTATGATGATGATGATGAACACAGGTTGTAATGCATTGCTACTTTTCCAAATTTTTGGTTAACCTTTCTAAATAAAAGGAATAGTTCGAAAGAACATGCTCTCTACTTAACCTTCAATCTCCCAAACTCAAGCAAATAGACATAACATAGAAAAAATAAAATTTACAAATTGACTGAAATGTAGCAAGTTATGATAAACATATTTTGATCCGCATAATACATTCATTGAGGAGGTTAAATAAAAAATAAAAAATAGAAAAAAAAAAATTTTTTTTTTTTTTGTCGTACTTCTTTCAGTGATTAGCACATGCAGCTAGAAAAGAGAGTTTAGTCGTGGTGTTCCTGTTCAATGTTGTTGATCTTGTGTTCCTACACATATTCATCATAAACTTTTCATATTTTCAAAATATGAAAGTAAAGCCATTGATTCTTCAAAGCTCAATTCTGGAAAAGGGGGTTAACTAAGAAAGTAAAACCATTGGTTCTTCAAAACTCCACAAGTAACTTCTAACTTTCTTGATAATTGAAAGCAACTCTCTGTTGCGTTAAAAAAAAATGTTAAAAAACGGAACTTGTCAAAGTTGAGTCGCTGAAATGACAAGCCACTTAACAGGGCAACCTTCTGCCTTGTTGCAAGCCTAAAGCTTGCAAATTAGATCACATAAACATCTCCGTCAAGTTAATCCCAGCTAGTGCAGTGCATCTCATCTGGTTTCCTAAACTGATAAAGGGAACTAGACTAGAATGAAAGACGAGTGAGTATCTCTAAATAAGGTTAATGACGATAATGAAAGCTTACTAGTTTTGGGGCCAGCTGGATGGTTCCAAAGAGCTTGAAGCTTTGATGCTGCCATAGAAACACTTTATGACTCCGTCAATTTGCCAATCCCACGTCTCTGCCTTAGAGTAAAAACAAAGCATCGAAATCTAACAAACCATTAAACTCCGAAAAGAAAATAACATCGTTGCATCAGTATTAATACTTAAGGAAAGCTACTAAAGGATAGCTTGGTCAACCATTGATACTAGCTCAATACTTGTCACTCGAACCCGTAACAATTGATTCTAACCAGTTTGCAGATCCCAGGCTTTCAATTTCCAACATAGAAATTATTTAAGGGAAAGATGTTGAGATAATAAGCTATTTTTTACAGCGGGAATTGAGCCACAGAATCTAAAATCCCCTCTATCCTCCGTTTTGCCTTAAAACCTGGATTAATTAAACCCTAGCATTGGCCGGATTTAACATAAATTCGCAGTTGCACGAATACCTTTTCTTCTTCACAGGGAGCTGCTCGCGTCGACACCTTCTGAAGCGATCAACAGTCGCGACTTCCTTGCTTCCTTGCCATAAAAAAAAAGTTCGGATTTTGGGGGAGAAAGAAGATTACGGATTTTAATTTTAATAATAAATATATATATAGGGAGAAGCCCAAATACGAATTTCCAATGCCTTAGGCCCCTAAAGAGAAAATTATTACATCAAAACTTCACATGCAAAGCTACTTGCGGAGTTTAATCTCGTGCAGACACGTGGAAGGTCGGCTCACATACATAAAAAATGAAAAATAAATAAATAAAGTGCGACCCGGCACGAACGATGCGTTACAAAGCATAAGCAAATATTTTTGCGTTATTTATTCTTGTCATCTTGTTATAGGAATATTTTCTCATGTTATTATGAACAACGCATCAATAACACATTAAATAGTACATGAATAACTAAAAATATATTCAGAATAACGCGAGTGAATATTCCTATAACAGGAAATATTCCTAAACCATCAATAACGCATTAAATAATTATAAGTTATTAATAAATATAAATTATGACATCTAAATAAATTATTTTTGTTATATAACACACTAATAACAAACTAATAATATGTAATAACACAATTATACACTCTCTATCTCACGGTATAACACGTGAGTAATATTCTCTGCGAATTATACCGCAGGTTATAAGGCCGCCCCACGAGTTATGCAGCCGCCCTATAACACTCCTCCAGTCTGCGGTATAACACGTATGGAATATTCCCAACGTGTTATACCGCTGGCTAGGGAGTGTATAATTGTGTTATTATGTGTTATTATATGTTATTGTGTGGGGGAGAATATTTAGAATAACGCAAAAAATAACACATAACGCAAAAAATATTTAGAATAACGCAATATTCTTATACCCCCTAATAACACATAACGCAAAAAATATTTAGAATAACGCGGAAGAATATTTTTATACATTTGAATATTTCTATAACGCATCGGTTGGGCCAGTTCGGGCATTTTCATTATTTTTTTCATTTTTTATGTAGGTAGGGCGGCCTTCCACGTGTCAGTGTGAGTCTGGACTCTGCTAACAGCTCTGCATGTGAAGTCCTGGTATAATATTTATTCTATGATGAGAGTCTACGTCATGTGCCTAAATATTCGAGAACCCAGCGCCACTGGGGATTGAACTCATGACCTGAGGGGACTTACAGTGAACCCCGCCAATCAACAGGCCACGACTTGTGGTATATATATATGTATATATATATGTATATATATATGTATATATATATACATATATATATATATATATATGCACATATATATGCCCCTCTTACAGATTATCATCATCATGCATGAAAATAATCTTTTGAACAAAAAAAATATTCAAATTATGCTACAAATCATCCGGAAGTTTCAACACAGTCAAACAGACCGGCTAGATGAGATTGACAACTCTGTGGGTCATCCGATCGGAGTGGTTTATATATTATTATTAATTGCTACAAGGACTTTATAAATAGTCTCACATCTCTCAAACGAGAAGGAGTTGATGTCCAACATCACATCGTTGTCGACCGCTATCAACCAGTAGTTTTCGATCGCTGTCGAATGTTGCCGACCATCACCATTGGCAGTCACCGCTTACTTCTTCTGTCAAGTTTATCCACGCAATCATCAAGTTTTTTTTTTTTTGGGTTTTCCAAGTTTTTTTTTTTTGTGTCTGCTGATTGTTTTTTATTTTGGGTTTTCCAAAGTTTTTTTTTTTTTGTGTCTGCTGATTGTTTTTTATTTTATTTTATTTGAGTGTGTATTGAATCTTCGTACAGCGCTAAAATAATAATCTATTACTCTATCAGAACGAATCTTCTAGCACTCATCAACACACACACACATACATAAATACACACCCGCGCAAATGGAGAGTGCAAATTTCTAAAGCTAAATTAATTTTGTATTGAAATTAATTTAATCAAAAAAATTAATCTAAATAAAATTGTACCTATCTGGCACAATTTTTGGGTTTATATGGTTACAAAGGAATCGAGTGACAAACTACTCTTACTGTGATAAAAGCCCATTCCTATTTGTTTGTAAGTAATCGAATTAATTCCTTTTCATAAATATTTTGTACTTAAATAAGGAAATATGCCCAAGTCATTGTTCGATTCATTTATAAATAAGCTTCTGAACGATTAAAGCTCAATTAAATACTCGTGAATAAGCTCGATTAAAGCTCATTTAAAACTCACTAATAGACTCATTTAATGCTCATGAAAAAACTCGATCAAAACTTGATTTAAAAATATATTTATATTAATTTAAATTAAACTAGTAATTAATATTTTCATAAAATAATATTATTTTTTAAAAATAAATTTTAAACATTTATTCTGATTATATTATTTAATTCATTTTTTACTTACAATTTTTTTAAAGCTTAAAAGATAACTATATTAAAATTAGATCTTAAATTATATAATTGTTGATATCCATTTTTTATGTAATACATGCGGAACATCCTTTCTGAGTGATACGGAACCGTATTAGGATCATACATGGCATACCGTGACTCAAAGAACCCATGGGACATTTAACTGAATGCTTCAGGCATGGTAGGGTCTTGCACCGCCACAATCATGCCCTGAAGCGATCATTGACAGGTTGGCATCACATGCGGTGTCCTCCACGTTGACGTTCGTTTGTATGTCATGGAGGTCTGTGTCTTGCTGATACAGACATTCTCACGATGCAAACCGTCAACGAGATTATTCCATAGGTGTTTATGCCCTGATCCTAAGGCCCAAACTGACGTATTTCACACCAGTACCATTTTTATTCGGTAACATGTATATGGAGCATCTTCTCAGGCTTTCAGGACGCATTTATGACCTCTCTAGCTGGTCGAGGATCATGTCTTGCTCATATCAGGTCTTCCTAAGTTCTCATGAGGCCTGAAACCCCTTTGAAGAAACTTTTCAGAAAGCCCAATTTATGTGGGGACCGGCGTGACTACGCCTAAATTGGGTGTGGGCACGCCCAAATAGTAGTGTGACTACCCAAAAACTAGTGTGACCACGCCTAAATCCCAGAGAGGTGCTCAGGTCCCTCAACCGGCATGACCATACTCGAAGGTGGCGTGACCACGCCTTCCAGACAAAGTGCTCGATGTAACTACGCCAAGTCTCGGGTGTGGCCACTCCAACCCCCCATCTGCGACACTTGTTACAGCGGCGTGAGCAAGCTCGACTTAGCATGGCCACACCGGGGCAACTTGTTTCATGATTTTTTTTCCATTTGATCCCCATATTTCTACTGATGGTGCCTCTAGGACCACCGGTTAGTGCTTTTGTCTAGTCCTTCACCCAAAAATAGTATGGGGGTAACCTAAGCCCATTTTAAAAAGGCAAGGTGGTTTTGAACCAAGGGATATGTTCTATGGGATGAAGATTTTGAAGAGAGCTTGAAGGGGAAGTTTTTTCATCTTCCTCATAGAGTAGGTTAGGGAAAAGATTTCTTCCATCTTCCTCCCCTTCTTCTTCTTGTTTTTCTTCACTTCCACTGTCACCTTCTTCCTCTTCAGCGCTCCCTGCGAGTTGAGCCCAGGAGATCCTCTTCCTAGCTTTGGAGAAGGAGAACTCTCGTAATCTCTTCATTCTCTTTAGTGCGGAGAGCTTGTTCATCAATTTGGAGAAGGAGAAGTCTGACCGTGTAATTCTCTCCGACGAGGAGAGGTTCTTCACTATCTTGAAGAAGGAATTCGGCTTCGTCATCCCCACCTTAAAGGAGCTTGGATAATTCCAAAAAATGATTCATTAACCACCGTGTCTGTGAGATCTCTTGAACTCTCGCTATTTTCATCTTTAGAGTCCCTAGGCCTAGATGTTGGAGGAGTTAGGTTAGGATTTTTGTGCCCTTAGAGGAAGACCCATAAGATTAGGTCCTTTTTGTTTTCCCCAACAAATTCAAAGAGTAAAACCCACCCATTTTATTTCTAGCCCAAAGTCCAAAGGCCGGGGTTGTACTAATCTCACCGTTTGCTTTGATGATTTCAATCAGATGGAAATTTGAAATCCATTGGCTGAAAAGATGAAGGCATTCCTTTGATCATCGTCTTCTCAGTCATGAAAACCCCTCTTTCAATGGATTCCCCACTTAGTGCCATGCAAACAGAGGTGGGCTTCATGTTGCCTTGTGCAATATGATGTCGGTACACCTCTCCATCACTCACCTTAGGTTTCACATGAGTTTGTTAGGACAAGCATGATTCATCGTTGGATCTAATGGGGGCCTCTAATTGCTTGTGTTTGCATTTCTATTGTGTGCACCACATGAATTTGAAAAAAATATATATGCATTAAAAACATCAATATTTGCATGTGTTATCGATCAACCACCTCCACTGGCTCGATCAACACTCTCTTTCTTTCGACTCGATCCATCGGCTGCCACTTTCCCAATCTTCCCAATCGACCATCTTCAATCCATTCGATTAATCGGTCACCACCCACCTGATATTATCGACAAACCATCCTTCATTGATCGACTGCATAACCCGACTCGATCGACCATCTCCAGTTTATTCGGTCGATCGGCTGCCATCGGCTTTATCATATCGATCAATCATCCTTCTTTGATCAATAGCACACCCTTGCCCAATCGATCATCTTCAGTTCATTCGATCAATCGAGCGCCACCAACATGATCGTATAGATTGACCATCCTTCATTGATAAGCCATGCACCCCACCCTAATCAATCACCTTCGGTCCATTCGATCAATCAGTCATCACCCACTCGATCTTATCGGTTGAACATCCTTTGTTGATTGCCACACAACCCAGCCCAATTGACCATCTTCAATACATTCAATTGATTTCTGCCACCAGCCCGATCGTATTGATCAATCATCCTTTGTTGATTGGTCGCACAACCCGAGTTGATCAACTATCTTCAATGAACTGAAGATTAATTGAATGTATTGAAGATGGTCAATGTCTAATGAGAAAGGATGTTTCAAATTTCAGCCATTGTTGTCTAGTTAGAGAATGAAGTTGATATTGATTCATTCGATTGGTCGAACTCTACCAGCCTGATAGTATCGATCAGCCTCCACCGCCC